TAATCAGAGACATTACTGTCTTCGACACTACGTACTCGGACCACAAGCTCATTGAAGTGCAAACTAACATTAATAACGGTAGTAGGCCCAAGAGAAACAACAAGCGAGAAGGGCTATTCAATAAATTCAATTTTAATAATAAAAGGATAGACTGGGAGAAAATAAACAGGGAACTTACAAACATTCAGTGGGAATATGTTTTAAGAAATAAAAATCCTACACAAGGAATAGAAAAACTGACTTTTCAAGCATATGAAGTCTGTCTGAAACATGTTCCTTTGAGGAAAGCCAGAAAGAGGTCCAATGTAGAAAGAACGCAGACGACATTACAAAAGGTGGAAGAAATTAACGGAAATGCTTAAGCAGTCACGACTCTCCATACAAAGAAGAAATAATTTAAACAGGGAGATTGAAGAAATCGAACAGAGACTGAAGCTTTCCTTTCAGACTGAAGAAAGGCAACTAGAACAGAAAGCAATTCAAGAAATAAAGAAAAACCCGAAATATTTCTTCACATATGCTAAATCAAAAGCGAAAACCACTGCCAGTATTGGACCTATTCGTATTAGTGAAGGTTCATACACTGAGGATGACAAAGAAATTAGTGAAATCCTAGAAAAGCAGTATGAAGCCATGTTTAGCACTCCGATACACAGCATGAAAGTGGAAGATTCGGACAATTTCTTAATGAGTGATATCGAAACACCTGTAAATATAACTGATATCAACACGAGCGTGTCAGTTTTGAAAGAGAAATTGACAATATGCCCATGCACTCGGCCCCGGGTCTAGACTCATGGAATTCAATATTTATAAAGAAATGCAAAGTGCCAGTAGCACAGGCACTCAGTATAGTGTGGATGAAGAGCTTGGACACGGGGGAGATGCCAGATGTACTGAAAGCAGCAGACATAGCCCCTCTACACAAGAGAGGTAGCAAAGCATTGGCAAAGAATTATCGACCAGTTGCACTAACATCGCACATCATAAAAGTATTTGAGAGAGTGATTAGGAGTCAGGTCACCAATTTCATGGAGACCAATGACCTTCACAACCCAGGCTAACATGGATTTCGAGCGGGAAGATCGTGCCTCTCACAGCTACTTGACCACTATGACAAAATCACTGAGACATTAGAAGAAAAACAGATTGCAGATGTTGGCCAAACCACACACTAGAAGGTGAAGGGACGACGACGTTTCGGTCCGTCCTGGACCATTCTCAAGTCGATTGTGAGTTCTCACAATCGGCTTGAGAATGGTCCAGGATGGACCGAAACGTCGTCGTCCCTTCACCTTCTAGTGTGTGGTCTGGTCAACATACTTTAGCCACGTTATTGTGACTCATCGCCTGCAGAATGCAGATGTGGTATACACAGATTTTGCAAAGGCATTCGACAGATGTGACCATGGAGTGATTGCACACAAAAGGAGGTCAATGGGTATAACTGGTAAAGTAGGACGCTGGATACTCAATTTCTTGTCGAACAGAACACAAAGAGTAACAGTCAATCAACTAAAATCGAGTCCAAGCGCAGTTAAAAGCACTGTACCTCAAGGTACAGTCCTTGCACCACTGCTGTTCCTTATTCTCATATCAGATATAAGCAAAAATACAAGTCACAGCTTCGTGTCATCCTTTGTAGATGATACAAAAATCAGCAAGAAAATTACCTCTGCTGAAGACATTGAAAAACTACAGGCATTAACAAAGTTTTCGATTGGGCAGCAGAAAATAACATGATGTTTAACGGGGATAAATTCCAGGTACTCAGGTACGGCAAAAATGAGGATCTGAAACATAATACAGGGTACAAAACACAATCGAATCTTCCCATAGTAGGAAAACAGCATGTCAAGGATTTGGGAATAATGATGTCCGACGACCTAACGATTAGGGAGCATAACCAAGCAAATATTGCGTCAGCCAGAAAAATGACAGGATGGATTACGAGAACCTTCAAGGCCAGAAATCCCATCACAATGGTTGTACTCTTCAAATCACTTGTGTTGTCCCGTCTTGAGTACTGCTCAGTACTCACTTCCCCCTTCAGAGCAGGAAGGATTGCTGAAATAGAGGCAATACAGAGAACATATACGGCACGCATAGACGCGATAAAGCACGTAAATTATTGGGATCGTCTCAAAGCTCTCCAAATGTACTCACTAGAAAGGAGACGAGAGAGATACCAAATAATATACACATGGAAAATACTGGAGGGCCAGGTCCCTAATCTGCACAGTAAAATAACAACGTACTGGAGTGAACGATATGGAAGAAAATGCAGAATAGAACCAGTGAAGAGCAGAGGTGCCATAGGCACAATCAGAGAACACTGTATAAACGTCAGAGGTCCGCGGTTGTTCAACGTCCTCCCAGCGAGCATAAGAAATATTGCCGGAACAACCGTGGAACATCTTCAAGATAAAACTAGATTGTTTTCAAGGAGTGCCGGACCAACCGGGCTGTGGTGGGTATGTGGGCCTACGGGCCGCTCCAAGCAACAGCCTGGTGGACCAACCGGGCTGTGGTGGGTATGTGGGCCTGCGGGCCGCTCCAAGCAACAGCCTGGTGGACCAACCGGGCTGTGGTGGGTATGTGGGCCTACGGGCCGCTCCAAGCAACAGCCTGGTGGACCAACCGGGCTGTGGTGGGTATGTGGGCCTGCGGGCCGCTCCAAGCAACAGCCTGGTGGACCAAACACTCTCAATTCAAGCCTGGCCTCGGGCCGGGCTTGGGGAGTGAAAGAATTCCCAGAACCCCATCAAGCAGGTATATTGGTACTTTCTGGTGGTCCATCACTATATATGTGGGTTCTTTGTGGTGGTCCATCACTATATATTAGTACTTTCTGGTGGTCCATCACTATATATGTGGGTTCTTTGTGGTGGTCCATCACTATATATTAGTACTTTCTGGTGGTCTATCACTATATATTAGTACTTTCTGGTGGTCTATCACGTCATATTAGTACTTTCTGGGGTTCATCACTATATATGGGTACTTTCTGGGGGTCCATCTCTATATATTGGAACTTTCTGGTGGTCCATCACTATATATTGGAACTTTCTGGTGGTCCATCACTATATATGGGTACTTTCTGGTGGTCCATCACTATATATGGGGAACTTTCTGGTGGTCCATCACTATATATTAGTACTTTCTGGGGGTCCATCACTATATATTGGTACTTTCTGGTGGTCCATCATTACATATTGGTACTTTCTGGTGGTCCATCACTACATATTGGCACTTTCTGGTGGTCCATCATTACATATTGGTACTTTCTGGTGGTCCATCACTACATATTGGCACTTTCCGGTGGTCCATCATTACATATTGGTACTTTCTGGTGGTCCATCACCCACATATTGGTACTTTCTAGTGGTCCATCATTACATATTGGAACTTGCTGGTGGTCCATCACTACATATTGGTACTTTCTGGTAGTCCATCATTACATATTGGTACTTTCTGGTGGTCCATCACTACATATTGGTACTTTCTAAGGGTCCATCATTATATATTGGTACTTTCTGGTGGTCCATCACTACATATTGGTTCTTTCTGGTGGTCCATCACTACATATTGTACTTTCTGGTGGTCCATCACTATATATTGGTATTTTCTAGTGGTCCATCACTACATACTGTACTTTCTGGTGGTTCATCACTATATATGGGTACTTTCTGGTGGTCCATCACTACATATTGGTACTTTCTAGTGGTCCATCACTACATATTGTACTTTCTGGTGGTTCATCACTACATATTGTACTTTCTGGTGGTTCATCACTACATATTGTACTTTCTGGTGGTTCATCACTACATATTGTACTTTCTGGTGGCCCATTACTACATATAGGTACTTTCTGGTGGTCCATCAGAACATATTGGTATTTCTTGGGGTCCATCACAATATATTGGTATTTTTTGTGGTCCATCACAACATATTGTACTTTCTAGTGGTCCATCACTACATTTGTGTACTTTTCACCAAATATTTACTAGAAGTACTCACATTTTAGGAGGATGCTCTGAAAATATGTGTGTGGTTTCTGTGGCTTTAAGCTATCGTAATAAGATATTTTCTAAAGGGCCGACACGGTTGTTTTCGTGCTTCTTAACAGTAAATTTTCTGAGAGATCTATCTTGAGGTTATCTTGAGATGATTTCGGGGCTTTAGTGTCCCCGCGGCCCGGTCCTCGACCAGGCCTCCACCCCCAGGAAGCAGCCCGTGACAGCTGACTAACACCCAGGTACCTATTTTACTGCTAGGTAACAGGGGCATAGGGTGAAAGAAACTGCCCATTGTTTCTCGCCGGCGTCTGGGATCGAACCCGGGACCACCCGGAGATGGGAAAGAGGGAACAACGGCTGGGATAGGGTAGGGATTAAAGGGGAGGGGTCGAGGGGAGATGAGGGAAATGGGGCGGATGATGACGGGGGTGCAAGGTGAATGGTCTGAGGTACGGGACGAACATAATCAGGTTTGTGTTGGTAAAATTGAGGAGAAAAGTGCGTATCGGGTTCACATTCGGACGACCACGACAATTTTTGGCACTGCCCGACGGCTACACCCAGCTAAACATTTTGAAAATAAATAATAAATAAATAAAAGAGAGAGAGAGGGGGGGGGAGAGAGAGAGAGAGAGAGAGAGAGAGAGAGACGAGGGAGAGAGAGAGAGAGAGAGAGAGAGAGAGAGAGAGAGAGAGAGAGAGAGAGAGAGAGAGAGAGAGAGAGAGAGAGAGAGAGAAGCGTAGATAAAACAGAGACAGACATCCAAACGTACATACATACATACATACATCCAGACATATAGTTACACACATACAGACATGTATAGACATACAGACTTGCAGATACAGAGAGAAAGGATAAGCCTGTAGAAATACAACGTCGACCAGGGCAAAGAGAGTGAGAGACCCGGGCACCGCCGGGTTCCACCCTTGTAATATTGTATAATATCCCACCAACTAATGTTTGGTTTTCTTCAACAGTTTACGGCTTCGGCGGGATTCCTGTGAGTATACTTTACGGTTTACGCTACAAACACTTCATTATGTTGTGGTATACTGAATGTGCAGAATTATTTTGTGTGTTGCTCGTCTACATTAAGTGTTAGTCACTATAATAGTTGGATCAGATAGGCCTAAGCACCAGTAACTACCGCACTATTGTTAATTAAGGAGGTAGGGCTGTAGTTTGGATGTGTTACCTTACACCTGATGCCACTGTTCACCTAGTGTCCCATCACACAACATCCTGTTTTCGGGTCAAATTTTTTAAGAGTCTAGTTTCAGGGAAATGTTTCAATGTTCAGAGAATAGTTTTATTAGGAGTTTGTTAAAGAAATGTTATTAGGGAAGTTCAGAGGAAAAGTAGTATGGACGTTCTTATTAAAACTCTACGGACATAAGCCGATATTTTAAAGTTCATTAAGAGTTTGTTAAGGGTTTCTTATAAGGGTAATTCAGGGCCAAAGTCGTCTCTGCTGTCTTAAAGAATTCTTATGGAAAAAATAAATTCTACGGACTTAAGCAGATATTTTAAAAAACTTTATCAGAATTTAGCTCTTGGGCCCGGCTCTATACATTTATAAGTGTAGTTTTACTACTAATAGCCCAATTTTCGTCATATATCAGACGTATTAAGAAAAGAATATAGTTACCAAGTTCCAGCTCCCGGCCTCCGACATAATTCATTTGTATAACTCCAAAATTAACTGATCAATTTCACTAAGACTTAAACTGGAGCTTGATTGTACTTCTGATTCAGTAAATCAAATCAAGACAATCAAGCTCCAGCTCCTGGCCTCCGCCTTAGTTACCTCTCCTATCCTCGTTAGTATCAATCCAATTCATCAAAAAATTTATCCCCGCTGTATTTGTTAAAGAATTTAACAAATTAAAGACGCTATTGTTAAAGACGCTATTGTTAAAGACGCTATAAAATAAATCAAAATAAAAAACTAGCTCCGGCTCTTGTCTCCGCCTTAGTTCATTCCTACAACTCCGCTATTATCCGATCAATTTCCTCGAGATTTAAAACATATGTATTTTATACATAGTAAAATACAACAATTAAGTTACTGAGTTCCAGCTCTTGTTCCCGCCTTAGTAGCCTCGCGTATCTTCGATTCTAACCGATATATTCCACTAAAATTTAAAACGGCTATATTTATGCCGCAGTAAAAAAATAACGATTTAGTTACCGAGCTCCGGCTCTTGTCTCCGCTTTAGATCATTTGTACAACTTTGCTGCTATTAGTCCAATTTCCCTCAAATTTAAAACCGCTACATTTCGAGCATAATAAAAATAGATCAAAACAATTGCCGAGCTCCAACTCCTGTCCTCCGGCTTAGTTCAGTGTTCATCAAATTTAGTTATTCCAGAACATCAGACCCGCTCTTAACCTTTACCTTATCACAGTAAACAGGAGTCTAACAATACCCTCAACTCACCTCTGTAATTACCACCACCAGGTCATTATCTCACGGTCATGTCACACCTTATCTCCCCCCCCCTCCCTCCCCACCATATCTCCCCTCCCTCCCCCTACCCACCATATCTCCCCTCCCTCCCCCTACCCACCATATCTCCCCTCCCTCCCCCTACCCACCATATCTCCTCTCCCTCCCTCCCCCACCATATCTCCTCTCCCTCCCTCCCCCTACCCACCATATCTCCCCTCCCTCCCCCTACCTACCATATCTCCCCTCCCTCCCCCTACCCACCATATCTCCTCTCCCTCCCCCTACCCACCATATCTCCCCTCCCTCCCCCTACCCACCATATCTCCCCTCCCTCCCCCTACCCACCATATCTCCCCTCCCTCCCCCTACCCACCATATCTCCCCTCCCTCCCCCTACCCACCATATCTCCCCTCCCTCCCCCTACCCACCATATCTCCCCTCCCTCCCCCTACCCACCATATCTCCCCTCCCTCCCCCTACCCACCATATCTCCTCTCCCTCCCCCTACCCACCATATCTCCCCTCCCTCCCCCTACCCACCATATCTCCTCTCCCTCCCTCCCCCCCACCATATCTCCCCTCCCTCCCCCACCATATCTCCTCTCCCTCCCTCCCCCCACCATATCTCCCCTCCCTCCCCCTACCCACCATATCTCCTCTCCCTCCCTCCCCCCCACCATATCTCCCCTCCCTCCCCCACCATATCTCCTCTCCCTCCCTCCCCCCACCATATCTCCCCTCCCTCCCCCACCATATCTCCCTTCCCCACACCTGACTTCTTCCATACCTCCCTCGTTCCTTCCATACTCCCCCCCCCCGTCCCCTCTCTTATCTCCCTCACCCCTTACCTTCCTCTCCCCTACCTCCCTACCTCCCCACGCTCTTATCTCCCCCTCTTCCCTACTCCCTCGCATCTCACCCATTCCTCAACGCCCCCTTCCCCAGAATCATTCACAACTCTGCACCTTCAAGAATTTGAAATACAACTATTAACAATAATCTTACCGCATCTGGACGTTCGCCCGTGTTCGTAAAATAGCCTCCCAAATGTCCATTCCATGTTTTCACCCGTTTCTCCGTGTTCTCCATGTTCTGAAAATGTTCACAGCATGTTCTATATACAACTTGTTATACATTATTCATGTTCTCATCCTATTCTCTGCAAGTTCAATTCATATGTTCCCCCTGTTTCTGCATGTTCTTCGCATTCCTCTTCATGTTCTGTGTTCTTTGTCATGTTCTCACAATGTTCTTCACAAGTTCATTATTCATTCTCCATATACTCTACTTTTTTATGTTTTCATGTTCTCTACAAGTTCAATTCATATTCCCCGCATATTCTCAGTGTTCATCACATTCTCTTACATGTTTTCTGTTTCTTTGTATGTTCCATGAGAGTTAAACAGCTGTTATCATGTGTCTTATCATACTTTGTCATTACTCATATGTAAATACACAACGTCTCCATCCTTAACATGTCCTCCCCTGGTCTCGTTGGGTCTTCTTAATAAAATTGTAAGTAGTGTAGTGTAGTTCTTCTTACTACTTCTTACTGCTTCTTCTTCCTTCTTACTGCTCCCTCAATCCTTTACATGTCTTAACGGTCTCTCCTTTCATCACTTTCTTACAATTTCCCTCCATCCTCTACCTGTTCTGACGTGTTCTCCATATGTTCACTGCGTTTATCGCATTCTCTTGCATGTTCTCTCGTTCTTTTAAATAACATGTACGATTATTTCTGTCGTTCAGTATTTTGAAGTTATATTGATGATTTCGGGGCTTTAGTGTCCCCGCGGCCCGGTCCTCGACCAGGCCTCCAATCCCAGGAAGCAGCCCGTGACAGCTGACTAACACCCAGGTACCTATTTTACTGCTAGGTAACAGGGGCATAGGGTGAAAGAAACTGCCCATTGTTTCTCTCCGGCGTCCGGGATCGAACCCGGGACCACAGGATCACAAGTCCACAGTGCTGTCCGCTCGGCCGACCGGCTCCTCAGTATGTAGTTCGTTGTTATGTATTATCAACTGCATTACTGATTGTTAACAAGTTACTACAAAGTATTTATTTAGTCATTCACTGAGGTTTGTTTTTCAAACGACTTTGTTAATGTGTTTCTGTTTAACGACTTATTATTTCTTACCAACACTGTTCTTAACTAGGTCAGCCGAGCGGACAGCACGCGGGACTTGTGATCCTGTGGTCCCGGGTTCGATCCCGGGCGCCGGCGAGAAACAATGGGCAGAGTTTCTTTCACCGTATGCCCCTGTTACCTAGCAGTAAAATAGGTACCTGGGTGTTAGTCAGCTGTCACGGGCTGCTTCCTGGGATTGGAGGCCTGGTCGAGGACCGGGCCGCAGGGACACTAAAAGTCCCGAAATCATCTCAAGATAACCTCAAGATAACTAGTATTATCCTTTATACAGTTACAAGCTTACAAAGACATTCTTTTTTTCTCGTTTCTTAACTAAAGTAACACTTTTTTCAACTGAAAAATAGTCATGTTCATCATCTTTCAACACTTTCTTAACTACTATAATGGGTCGTTAAGTACGAAAAATAGTCAAAGGTAATTTCTTCATAATATTTTCTAAACTAAAGTTACTCCCCGAGACATCTCGGCGCATCAAATGTTTCTATCATGTCATCTGTATTCTCCAGTGACACCCTCAAAGACTTGAAAATACTATTATTTCCATCAAAAGTTATTCTCAGAATCATCAAAGTTAATCTCGGAATGAACAAATCCACAAGGGCCGTGACGAGGATTCGAACCTGAGTCCGGGAGCATCCCAAAATCTCGGAATCATTAAGAATACTCTTCAAGCATTAAAGAGACTCTATGGTTTATTGACGTAAGAATGTTACTTTCCAGGATGGTATGTCTTTATTTACAACATCTTAAAGTTATAATTTCTTAACAAATCTTAAATAAAATTGCACTTTCATTAGTCAAGAGTAACTTTTTCAAGTCATATGTAAGTATACTTTATGTTAAACTTATTAAGATGCATCGTAATATAGACACAAAACCGCATTTAAATATTATTACAAAAAGTGAACATTTACAACTTTCGTAACATATCTATCATTCCTCATTTATTTACGTTACATCTATTATGCAATAGTTTTTCTCCGTCATATATATATATATATATATATATATATATATATATATATATATATATATATATATATATATATATATATATATATATATATATATATATATATATATATATTATTTATTAGCAAGACAAGCTTTTACTGAAGATATATTTTATAATGTAACTTACCTAGTTAAACTTATCCATCCTTACCTACCTGATGTAACTTACATAACCTACCTAATATAACTTACCTATCCTGACCTGACCTAACTTACATAACATAACCCACCCGACATAACTTGCCCATCCTCTTCTACATGATGTAACTTACATATCTTAATAACTTAGCTGACATAACTTACCCAACCTACCTATCCTCTTCTACCTGCTGTAACTCAGAAAACCTACCCTACCTGCCTCTGTAACTTACAAAACCTA